CTACAGGACCTTAATGTGCTTCTTCTTGAGCCACTCCTTTGTTGCCTTGGCCGTGTGTTTTGGGTCATTGTCATGCTGGAATACCCATCCATGACCCATTTTCAATACCCTGGCTGAGGGAAGGAGGTTCTCACCCAAGATTTGACGGTACATGGCCCCGTCCATCGTCCCTTTGATGCTGTGAAGTTGTCCTGTCCCCTTAGCAGAAAAACACCCCCAAAGCATTATGTTTCCACCTCCATGTTTGACGGTGGGGATGGTGTTCTTGGGGTCATAGGCAGCATTCCTCCTCCTCCAAAAACGGCGAGTTGAGTTGATGCCAAAGAGCTCGATTTTGGTCTCATCTGACCACAACACTTTCACCCAGTTCTCCTCTGAATCATTCAGATGTTCATTGGCAAACTTCAGACGGGCATGTATATGTGCTTTCTTGAGCAGGAGGACCTTGTGGGCGCTGCAGGATTTCAGTCCTTCACGGCGTAGTGTGTTACAAATTGTTTTCTTGGTGACTATGGTCCCAGCTGCCTTGAGATCATTGACAAGATCCTCCCGTGTAGTTCTGGGATGATTCCTCACCGTTCTCATGATCATTGCAACTCCACGAGGTGAGATCTTGCATGGAGCCCCAGGCCGAGGGAGATTGACAGGTCTTTTGTGTTTCTTCCATTTGCGAATAATCGCACCAACTGTTGTCACCTTCTCACCAAGCTGCTTGGCGATGGTCTTGTAGCCCATTCCAGCCTTGTGTAGGTCTACAATCTTGTCCCTGACATCCTTGGAGAGCTCTTTGGTCTTGGCCATGGTGGAGAGATTGGAATCTGATTGATTGATTGCTTCTGTGGACAGGTGTCTTTTATACAGGTAACAAACTGAGATTAGGAGCACTCCCTTTAAGAGTGTGCTCCTAATCTCAGCTCGTTACCTGTATAAAAGAGACCTGGGAGCCAGAAATCTTTCTGATTGAGAGGGGGTCAAATACTTATTTCCCTCATTAAAATGCAAATCAATTTATAACATTTTTGACATGCGTTTTTCTGGATATTTTTGTTGTTATTCTGTCTCTCACTGTTCAAATAAACCTACCATTAAAATTATAGACTGATCATTTCTTTGTCAGTGGGCAAACGTACAAAATCAGCAGGGGATCAAATACTTTTTCCCCTCACTGTACAGGATATACATGGTATACACTGGCCAACTAAATGCTTACTTGCAGGTTCCTTCTCAACAGTGCAACAGCAATAAGAAATAAGAAAAGATAAGAATACTAACATAAAGAAAATGGCTCAGTATAATGTTCCTAATGCTGCCTAGTTCAAACAAGCCTGGTCCAATCCCCAATGTCCATGTTCTTCCGCTGAATTAAAATGGAATATGCATGTATGAGGCCCTAGTAAGTTTTGTAGAGTCCTCACTCAAAAACAAATGTATTGCTACTCAACAGGATAAGGGCATTTTGCATGTAGATTATTTCCATTGGGGATTGGACCAGCCTTGTTTGAACTAGGCCTGCCCTGCCTCATGCAGGTCATGAGGAATTTCAGAGTATTTGACTCCTACAGAATGAAAAAACGGAGCCTGGGGGAAGGGGTGGGGACATGGGACAGCGGCATGGGTGTGGGTGTGGGAGCGGGGTTGCGTTTGTAGAAGCCTCTGGGAACCTTCCCCCCCAATCACCAAAAGGCAAGTCTCACATCAGCTGGCATGAGGGCAATTTAAAACAGGGCTGCAAAAAGAGGAGGGGGGGAATACGTTTCTGGAGAAAAACTAGCTACATGCACAGTGAAATGATGTGATTTGAACAGATGGCATCAGAATTACATTTCACTATACCTATTTCAGAGACGTTCCACATGGTACCGGTAGAATTTCACATTGTATTACAATAAAAGGTTTATTTTAGTTTAAATGGTGTAAAAAGCCGCTGCAGTTGCTTGTATTGGGACTGGTGAGGTCATGTTCAGGTCAGAGTTTGATTTCTAGCTGGTTTACAGCACTATTCCCATAGCTCCTGCTCCACAACCCCCATCCTAAACAAGCCTGCAATCAGCTGGGGAAGACGTGGCAGTATGGGGGAGGGGTGAGTGATGTGGAGGCTGAAACTGTAATGACTTTTACAAACTTCTAGTAACTACGGTTTCCACTACTGTTGTAAATGTCATGTGGATTCCCTTCCATAATCATTGCTTGTGAACAGGATTATTGAAAATACAATACATGCATATACATGCATATGAGCATTGTGCCCAGTGTGCCCATTCACAACTACAACAGGAAGCCAAAGGGATATCCTCACTGACATGCACATATTCTCTGTTGAAAAAGACACACTATTGTACTTTACTTTCATTGCACTTTTCTGCATAAAAACAAAATTACCATATCCATACCCATATCTATTGTGCTGGTGCAAGTTAGAAAATGTGTGAAAGTTAACATGATGAAAGCTGTGTGTGTGATTGAGTCAGGATGCAGCATTAGGACCATGCAGAGGACTGCATCAAATGGATCCAGGGGGAGGTCTGAAGTTTCGGCTTCCTGAGGAGAGCCAGAGGTTCATATTTGCATACCCCATTCCCAACTTCCAGAAGTTTCTTTTCCATGGGATATATAGGCCAGAGAAAAAACAGTACGAACATCAGTCGACAGACGAGCTAACCCAGAGAGTGGGGTCCGAGAGAGATCGTGCCAAGCTGTGCCAGGTAAGGATTGGGAGAGACTGGGAGAGTGCTCTCTTTTGACCATATTTTTTGTGGAAAGCTTTTTATTATTTTAATGTTTTAAATTATAAGTAGAGTGCATGCATTTAGGTTCTGAAATAACTTCGTAGAATGTGGAACCTATTCTGATTCAGGCACTCTTGCACAATCTTTATATATATATATATATATATATATATATATATATATATATATATAATGTATTTCCTATTATCTCAACTGTTTAGTGAGATAACTGGAGTAGCTGATAGGATGCCGCATTGATTGTCATGCAATGTATTATATACGGCAGTTATAACTGTACTTTGAGATAATATCGTTGCTTGATGATGCATGTTGATTATTGGTTTACAATTATTCAATAAATTAAGAGAGAACTACAAATCAGTGCATTAATTTGATTGTGGATATTGTTTGGCTTTCGGTAATTGCATAATAAAAAGCATGAGTTGGCGCACACCCAGAGAAAATTATTTTGTGTAAAGGTGCTGACCAATGGCGAATAAACTGTAAACTATAAAAAATAAAGAGTCGCACCCTCTATATATATCCCAGTAATTTATTGGGTAAAACACCAACGTTTCGGCATTACTGTGCCTTCTTGAGGGTAATTGCACACACAAACAAGCAGAACTGTTACTGACTAACATTGCGTAGATGATTTTGGGAGTGGTGGGACGTTCTAACAAAAAAAAAATCTGACTTGGTTCTCCTGTGGAACTGATGCTGTTCCACTGTGGCATTTCTGATTGGATGGACGTTTTTCTGGGACACGCACTGGCCAATGAGAGAAGTTTTACGTGTGTATGCATGATATCTAGCTATGGATCATTATTCAAGAAAATACAAAATGTTTTCAACAATGGACCCTATATCAAGGGAAGATGGAAAGAATATCAAAATTTAGAAATTAAATGAAAAATAACTCCATATGGGTCTGACTAATGCTTTATCACCTGCTCTATGGAGATTACCCCATGCACCTCTTTTCTTTCAGAATGAAAAGCGAAAACCTTGACATCAGTATGAAAACATTTCAAGGTATCCCAAGAGGATGATGCAAAGACATACAAAGTGAAAAATTCAGAATTTGTGAAAAACAGCTATACAGCCTACGTACTACTATGTTTTTGAAGGCAGGAAAGCAATTTAGACTTAGTGGAAAATCAAAGGATTGATCAGAAGCCACTCCTTGTTGTTAGATGTATTCTGAGGCTACACATTCCTTCCTTTTGTTTGAACAAGTCGGGCAAAGCTTGTTTTTGCCTGTGGGCTCCTGTTAACCGGCAAAAAGTACCTCCATAGGTTCTATGTGGACACTATCTATTGACAAAATTGTGCTGTAATGATACCTCTGAGAACTTCTGAATATCACTTTTTATTTTAGAAATTGTGAATGTATACTTTTTTGTTCTACAATTAACAAGAGCACAGAGCGGTATCAAATTACACCCTCAGTCAGAGCCCAGCACTCTAGGCTGCTGCTATAGCTCAAGTGCTCTACAGCTGCTGACGTGGCTAGAAACATGGCTGCCTAACATTGGGACCTATTCATTTGTACAGCCAATGCTATTGTCATTCAATTGCTGAATATGTGTGACCTCAGTCTAAAACCACACTGTAATAACACATTACAATGAGTATACAAAACATTTAAAACACCTGCTCTTTCCATGACATAGATTGAACATGAATCCAGGTGAAAGCTATGATCCCTTATTGATGTCACTTGTTAAATCCACTTCAATCAGTGTAGATGAAGAGGAGGAGACATTTTAAAGAAGGATTTTTAAGCCTTGAGATAATTGAGACATGGATTGTGTATGTGTGCCATTCAGAGGGTGAATGGGCAAGACAAAATATTTAAGTGCCTTTGAACTGGGTATGGTGGTAGGTGCCAGGCGCACCGGTTTGTGTCAAGAACTGCAACGCTGCTGGGTTTTTCACGCTCAACAATTTCCTGTATGTATCAAGAATGGTCCACCACCCAAAGGACATCCAGCCAACTTGACATGACTGTGGGAAGCATTGGAGTCAACATGGACCAGCATCCCTGTGGAATGCTTTCGACACCTTGTAGAGTCCATGCCCCAACAAATTGAGGCTGTTCTGAGGGCAAAAGGGGGGTGCAACTCAATATTAGGAGGATGTTCCTAATGTTTGGTATACTCAGTGTGTATATAGTCTACACAAAAATAGGCCCTTTGAAACAATGGCCTCAAATACCAACACAGGATTTCCAACATGATTGTATTTCTGTCTGCTTTCAGGTTTCTATAGCTGCTCGAGAACCAGAAGACAGAAAGGATGTGGGTGACCAACGTCGTATATCTGTGCCTGTTGGCAGTTGCGGCCTCCGGAGAAGACAAGAAGAAGCTGAGCAGCCATGCCACCACCATGGCTGACAAGAGCGCCAACCTGGCCTTCAGTCTCTACCACACGGTGGCCAAGGAGAAGGGCCTTGACAACATCCTGATATCCCCTGTGGTGGTGGCCTCCTCCCTGGGCATGGTGGCCCTCGGGGGCAAGGCATCCACTGCCTCCCAGGTCAAGTCTATCCTCAGCGCTGACGCCCTGAAGGATGAGCACCTGCATACAGGCCTGTCAGAGCTCCTGACTGAGGTCAGTGACCCCAAGACCCGTAACATCACATGGAAGATCAGCAACCGCCTCTACGGCCCCAGCTCGGTCACCTTCGCCGAAGACTTTGTGAAGAGCAGCAAGAAGCACTACAACTACGACCACTCCAAGATCAACCTCAGGGACAAGAGGAGCGCAGTGAACTCGCTCAACGAATGGGCTGCCAAGTCGACAGACGGCAAGCTGCCTGAGATCACCAAGGATGTGCAGAATGCTGACGGAGCCATGATCGCCAACGCTATGTTCTTCAAGCGTAAGTAGAGTTATTCAAAAATACCCAGTAGCCTAGTAGTTAGTATCTTCAACTACTGCTATTACTGTTGATGTTGGGGAGTATTAAACAGTGAGATTGTGAGATGTGAATATCTTTAGAAAACAACATTATCCTCTGTCTCCAGCTCACTGGGATGAGAAGTTCCATGAGAAGATGGTAGACAACCGTGGCTTCCTGGTGACCCGTTCATTCACAGTCTCTGTTCCCATGATGCATCGCACTGGTAGGTTTCACTAACCTTTTGAATAGAGACATACCATACAATAAGCCTTAATATAAGACATTATCTACAACATTATCAAGATAACTTGACTCATCTATTCTCATCCCATGACTGTGTTCCACAGGTCTCTATAAGTTCCATGATGACACAGAGAACAGGTTGTTTGTGCTGGACATGCCCCTGGGCCAGAAGCAGTCCAGCCTGGTGTTCATCATGCCCTATCACCTGGAGCCCCTTGACAGGCTGGAGAAGCTGCTGACCCGCAAGCAGCTGGAAACCTGGATGGGCAAGATGGAGGAGAGGGCCGTGGCCATCTCTCTGCCCAAAGTCAGCGTGGAGGTTAGCCACAACCTCCAGGTAAACACATCATTGCGATTATATTGTTTGCAATAGATTTAAGGGTTGTTAATGACTTATCTCATAAACTACGACTCAACTCGCAAGCTTGACTATGAAAGAACATATTTGACTTACATATTAACCATTTATCCATGTTTCACTCTCTATTGTACACTTCTCTCCAGAAAACTCTTGGTGAACTTGGTCTGACCGACGCTGTGGACAAAACCAAGGCCGATTTGTCCAACATCTCTGGCAAGAAGGACCTTTACCTCTCCAACGTGTTCCACGCCTCTTCCATGGAGTGGGACATCGAGGGGAACCCCTTCGACACCAGCATCTTCGGAAGCGAGAAGCTGAGGAACCCCAAGTTGTTCTACGCTGACCATCCCTTCATCTTCCTGGTGAAGGACAACAAGACCAACTCCATCCTCTTCATCGGCAGAATGGTGCGACCCAAAGGAGACAAGATGCGTGACGAGTTATAAAAGTTAATGGATAGTTTGAGAGTTAAGGTTACTGATTGAATCATGCCAGGAAATAGTATGTGTACAGAATGTGTATTATGGTATGACTGTTACCTCAAGAACACATTCCAATAGGTCATCTGTGGACTGAATATCTGGGCCTTAATTAAGCACTCCCAGGGAACAGGAGTGTATACGTTCGAATGAATGCTGTTTGGCCTTTGCAATGCGCCATAATTAATAACGTTGTTCAAGTCTGCATTTGAACACATTTCAGGAAAAAGCCAAACACCACAAGTGCCTTTTTAGAGTACCTGAACATTGAATAGCAGACGACCCGACAGCATGCTTATATTAAGTATGATCGCTCTTATTTTTGCCTTCCATAAAATCTGACATTTTCCACCATTCTTTTCACCAGTATAGGTTTGGCTTCTCTCTCTTATTTTGAGTTTGTGATATGTGTGGTTAGTTGCATTATCTTTAATGTTTAAAGAAAAAAAGATTGTTGCAGAAGTGTACTACAAGCTAATTTCATGTGTTACTGTCTTCCACTTTCCACCATGCAAAGTACATTTCTCATGCTTTCACAGTTGTTTTAGCCTCCCAGCTGCACTGAAACTGTTCCTCGGCACTCTTTGATTTAATTGAATTATCAATGCCATTTGCCAATCAAACTGTGTGACTTTTTATTTTGTAGGCATTTACCACAAAACCTTGGAATGTTACCATAATGCAATGTTGTGTCCTTTTGACTATTTTTCAATAAAAAGAAACATAAAATGAACTGATTTTCATTCAAAGTTGATCCAAGTGTAAGAATCTGCTCAGTTTCCTCAAAGCATACTGATACATCATGATCAAGAAATGGTTAGATTTAG